TTTTCCCCTCACCTCAGACACATCTCCATCCTGATACATCCTTGAACTTATTCTCTCACATCTATTTTACAGAAGAGAAACCTCCACACTAAAAATCTATGTGCCCATTGCAAGATGGCACAGGGAATTGAAATCTGGAGTCTCCATTCCATAGCTCGGAACTCCACCTCTAGTCCACTCTCACATTACACAGTGGAACAGGCTCTCCCACCCCAGGATGGTTGTCACAGTGCCCAAATTCACCAGCAGGCCTTGATGCCCTGGTCAGCATCGGCAGGGCCTCTGCACAGGTACCCACCAGCCAGGGCTTTGTTTCAGCTCAGCCCCAGGCCTTGGTGAGCTTTGCTGGAGCCCTGGCCCTGCTGATCCTGACACACTGGCTGGGCCTCCCGCTCTGAACCAGATCTGTCTCCTGGAATTTGACCAGTCAGTACTGTGGTCACCTCAGCTCCTGGCTCACTATCCCTCATGCAGAAGCCTCACTCTGGCTGAGAGGTTGTGGAGGAAGAAAAAAAAAAACAGGCCCAAGACATCAGAAACACCGGTGGAAACACATCTCTTATCTCCTCAGAGCACAGCTCCTGCCTTAATCATTAGACAGAGAGAAGGATGTTATCAGCACCAAAATAAAATGTTCTGTCTTCATTTGTTACGCTGCAGTTGGAGGAAAGCAGACCAGACTTGCAACAGGGGCTCAAAACTGGCTACTGCAAGTGTAAATCCAAGGGTACAGAGTTAATTTTTGCATGTACAGTTTTTCACTCAGTCACTCCTTTCTGATCGTTTCTGCTAAACGAAAGTAAGGCTTGTCAGATAACTTCACAGAAAGCTGCTGTCTGATACCTGGATAAAGAAGTGAAAGCCTTCAGCTGAACCACAAGAGATTCACTGGCTCACAGGGATGAGGTTTCGAGTTTACTCCAGGGAAGAGTCACTGCCGTTAACACCGAGAGGGAAAATAGCCCGAATAATTTACTGAATCCGGGCTGAAAAGGCAGGTGTGGAATCCATGGGTTTGAGGCCCGGCTCGGGCAGCCCAGCTGCCACCTGGTGACTGAAAAGACACACTGCGTTATTACCGCAGCATTTACTACTTCATTACCTATTCCAGATACGCATGGAATAAATCTGACAGCATATCCCAGGAAGGAGCAAGGAGCTCTGATTCGCCAGAGTCGAAATATACAATATAGGTCAATGTTGATAGAAGGGAAAAAAGAGATAAATTTAAATAACTTAAGTCTTAGATTGCAGAGTCATCAGAGGGGAAACAGCTGGGTTGGGGCAGCAGTCACCTAAATTTGGGTACTATTCTGTACACACTGACCTGACAAAACAAAACCAAGTTCAATACCCAAATGAAAAAACATTCTTTAACATCTCGGGGGAAATATTTTGACAATTGGGTTAAATACCCAAATGTATTTCTAGAAAAGAGGCGGCAAAGCAGTTAAGAAGTACCACTTTTCCAGCAGATTTTTGCATCTGTTGTGGCCTCTTGGGTTCATCTCAGCCACCATTTGAGAAGATCAAAAGCGGTATTTGAAGCTGAGAAGAACCTTCAAGGAAACTGGCACAAGAACTTCAGAGCTCCCTCTTATCAAGTCTTCAGTAGTTTCTGTTGCTTATGCATGGATCATGTCACACCCTTTTTTCTCACTGACTTGAAGCTGAAATGTTGGTTTGCTCACCCAACTTCTGTGGCACCTGGTGAATTTTCTACATTGGATTGTGTAGGGAGGGCATGATAAGAACCTAAGAAAAACTGGAGAGCAGTGGCCATGACATCATGGGAGAACAGGCTGTACTATTTTGATGGAACTCGCTTTGAGAAAGTCTTTGTACCTGCCACTACAAACAACAGACTGAATGGCCACAAGGCTGTCCACAAAATGTACTGTCCCAGTACAGTTCTAACACTTATTTTTCCCATGAAAATCTACATGGGACTGAAAGCTGCAGGAAGAAGTTTGCAGGTCACAGCAGGTCCTACAGCACATGCTACAAGCAAAATTTTTACTTCCACTTGCTAAAGGAACTGATGAGCTATCAGAGTTTCTTCACATCTGTGCCTCCACTGACTTCCCACAGCAAGGCAGCAGTAAAATGACCAGATTCCAGGGACCTATTACCTTTCTTTTTGCCTTTTCCCTGCAGTCCCAACTGGAACCACTGTTCTGAACTGCCGTGTGGGGCTGTGTGCTCTGAAAAGGTGACTTTGGTAAAATGATTTGTAAGCCGAATGCTACAAAATCAATTTCTTTGGCAGATATCACCAAAAAGTGCCGTCAGACAACAGTGGTTGTATGAAATTAAGATACAGAAGACAACCACAGAAAATAAAAAGTTGTTCTTCAGACTCCATTTTCACTTCTGTTTTGCTGGTCTACAACAGTATAAAAGACTGTATTAAGGATATTATACAGGTGATTAGGTTACACATCAGATTTCTGTCAACTGTTGTCCCACCAAATGTTGGTCATGGTTGTTAATTAATCCAATATTGTCAGAATCCCATTTTAAAAGGAAATATTATAGTAAGCTGTAACAAAAGGGTTAGGAGCATAATTTTCAGAAGGTGATCGATAACAAACAGAAGGCTGCTTGAAAAATGTTTATGCTTAAAATATAATAACTACTGCACATATCTTTTTCAACTTTTATGCTCTAGTCAATGTATTATGATTGAGTTCTACTGAATTACTTTTTAGTGGATAAATACTGTACACGCTGCAGTGTGATGAGACATCATGTAATGTATACTAATTAAGCCATTATATCTGCAGAGGAGATCGTATCTGAAATATCAAATTAGCGGGAATTAAACATCTCAAAGGATTAATGAAATGTTATGGAGCCATTCACTTCCAGGTCAACAGGTTCAATTTCACCTCAGTTTAATAGTTATAATGAATTTATGTGCTGGAGATAACAATTCTCTGCATCCGTTCATAAATCAGGGCAAGAGCCCCCGGCTCGTACCAGGAGCCTTGAACCAGCACAGCCAGAACAGCAGAGCCAGGAATATCTGCTAGGCCTGTGTTTGGCACATAGCCCCAGGCTCCAGGAGATCAAACAGCACATTTACTGGATGGCTGCAATATGTGTAGGCAGCAGCAGCGACACCAGAGACACTCAGTCAGTTCTCTTTACAGACCTGCCAACAATTGTCAACCCCAGCAATAAAGTTATCACAGGCTCAACATTCCACCCTGTCTCGTCCTCGGCTCAGTTCAGAGCCCATCCTGATCCCTCTCTCAGCAGCCCTCGCTGCTCTCAGCCTGCAGCACAAGGAAAAGGTGGGGTTGGGGGACAGGGAAGGAAGAACTGCAGCCAACTTTTACTGGCTTTTTCTTTAGCTAATGGGACAATAAATACCCAGCAAACCCTGGGGTTGCAATGGAACCATGAATTAGAGACTAAACTTTTTTTAGAGATTAAATAACCACTAAGCTTTTTTTAGAGATTAAATAACCACCACGTCAACAGATTTAGGCATCAGCTCCTTAGTCATGGTAGGCAGTGAGCAAACAACAATGGGTTTAGACCTAAGAGAAGGTAGTTAAGAAATAACCACAACAAGAAAAAAAACCTGTATCTTAGTCAGTCAGGAAAGAGGTACATCCAACCTCTGCAGATACACATAGAATGGAGACAAATTGTTGCAATCACTGACAGCCCATCAGTTCAATTTGCTGTGAGGACTCTTAGACACACATTACAGTGTAAGTAAGCTAAGGAACAGCTCTTTCACAAGGTTTCTTCACTGACTTCTGCCGAGCTCTGCTAAAACTAAAATCTCACTGAGCCTCAGTATCTCCAACAGAACTGTCACAGGGATCACCTCCAGAGGTATTATGGAAAAAATACTATTTATGAGGTGCTTCAAGTAATCTAGAAATGCAAGTTGTTAATATCAGTCCTTCCTGCAGGTGTTTAACCCCCACTCTGCAATAGGGATTGGGAACCTGAAGCAAACACACGCTACACTGTGACAGGAGAGTCTCATGCTGCTGCCTCTACCACCAACCACGCTTTGTGATCATCCTGCTCCCCCGTCAAACACTCCCAACATCTGGAAAACAACAAGGACTTTCAGCAGAGAGAATGTGGATGGCTGTAAAACAGCTTACACAGACTAATACATTGAGAATAGTTTTTCAACCAGGGGTATTGAAATACAAACACCAGGCTGAAAGAAAAGCTGTGGCAGCCTACATAATATATGAAAAAAGCATCAAGCTTGCAGGATTGTTTTCTCTTAGTGACTACAAACAGAATTCAAGAACAAAGAGCATTCTAACAGCTGTTTGCTTTGCTTTCCTGGCAACTCAGGTATTTCAAGTATAAAAAAAAAAAAAAAAAAAAGAAAAAAAAAAAAAAAAAAAAAAAAAAAAAAAAAAAAAAAAAAAAAAAAAAAAAAAAAACAAACCAACAAAAAAAGAGAAAACATGACAAACCAGAAGTTATAAGGAGCCATTTTTATTGCAAGTCTGCCTTGAATGCACATTCCCTGCTTACAAAACCTCTCAACACTCCACTACAGCAAATGCACGAAGAGACTGAGTGAAATTTGTACCATATATTTACTCTTTCAGCAGGAAGCTGGAAAGTACAGCAGCAAGTACTGCAGGTGGAAATGCAGATGAATTTTTCCTGGTCTTTCTTACCTTCTTTCACTTTAGCCACTATTCTCCCTCTTCTATGACACGTGACTTTCAAGTGCTGAGCCCCTTCAACAGCACTTCTAGATCTACTTGTCCTGTGACATCCTAAGTTACACAACTGTAATGAAAAGTTTCTACAGATCATCAGAAACCTGCAACCATAGCATTTTCCTAAGGGATGTATTTTGAAAGTATAATTATTATGATTAAATCTGATAATAGAGTTTATATATTAACATATTACATAATTATTTATGCATACAGCTTAAAATTATTATTTAAGAGTGTAATTTCTACCATGACTTCCCAAACCTTTGGAAAACAATATTTTCATAAATTTTCTGTTCAAGAAAGAAAATAATTTAGCAATAGAGGCAGATGCAATAAAATATTCAGTGAGAATTTTAAATAAAAGTGCCCTCCAAGAGGCAGACAAATTTAAGGCATTTTCTGTGTTGGACACAAGAAAAGCAGGAAGAATAAATCTCTTCAAAAGCACTTGAGAAAGTATTAAGAGAAATTCAGAATGTAAAGTAAAACTTGAAATTTTCAACATCCCCTATTGGATTTAAAGTTATACATTAAAAACCATTTCAACTGTATTTAAAACTAGAGTGTTCTAGTTTAGAGGCCTAACTTGGGGGTGTGTGTGTTTGCAAGGAGAGAAATACCACTGTAATTAGTGGTACTAGACCACTCTAATTCGAAAAAGTACATAATCCCTTTGTCAGCCTGGTATAAGCAAATACTCTTCCCTTGGAACCTTTGCTCTCACATCACCATGATCAGGGTTACAAGACTATCTACTTCCAGTTTTTTAAGATCTCTCTCTGCATCTCAAGCATTCCACTGCTGTACTTCAGTCACTTAAAGCAGAGAGCAGAAGTATGAAATTTGTGTAGTTTCATACTTCATCTTGATTGCTGTAAAACTCCAGTATGTTCTCCTCACTCCTAACAGACATGAGCATCCAGCTGCATGTCAAGCAGCAGCCCTGGATAACAAAACAAGCTCTGACACTGGAGCGAGAGAGAGGCAGCAGCGTTGGGGTTTTGGTGCTGCAGGATAAACTCTGAGGTCCACAGGGAAATCTAAATGGTGTATTTTTCTGTTTACCTTCAGGTGACAATGTCCAAATGCTGCAACACATCACTGAACGTCTGCTACAAAAACTCCTGTCACGAAGAATAAAAATGGATGGCTGAATAATGGTCAGGCTGGACCTTCTGCCTCCTGCCAGCAGTGCTGAGCAGAGATTTAAAACCAGCTTGTAAGCAATATGCAGCCAATCTAAACCTATATAATCAGCCCTAGAATCATCAACATTACAGAGACATCAACTTACCTCTGAAGAGAGATAAGGGAGCTGCTGGTGTTTCTCAGAGGACCCAGCTACATTGACTGAAGTCAGAGAAAGAATTACTTGTTTCAAAATCAGTTCTCCCAACTATATTCACTGATAGCACTGAACAGGGTTTGGTGGTTTTTTTCCTTTTTAAAAGCTTGCATTCTGATTTAATTGAAGAAATATGATAAACTCTTCCCTTCTCCATATAGAAAAAGAATGTTTCAAAATAGGATACGGTGGAGAATATTTCTAATGTTTCCTTCATGTAAGACCCTACCATATATGAACGAGATTTTTGTTTTGATCCAAGTAAGTAATACATCTTAAGAACTGGAGGAACAGGATTTCCCTTTTTTATTTTCATTCACTGCCACCTTCCCACAAGATGGACATTTCAGTATTTTCACCAACTGCAAAGCAAAGACAAGTCAAACCTGTGCAAACAGAGAGGGCCACACTGGGTTACGGTGGCCCATCCTGAAAGGCAGAGCTTTACCTCTACTGTGCATGTTGGTCTCCAGGGCATAAAAAGTGTGGCTTCAGGGGGACTGGGGAAGGAGGGATGCTTAACATTACATATGCCAGTTTCCTGAAGTCACCTTTTACAAGGTACAGCTGCAAAAGCTATGCAGCCAAAAAATCTTATATTTGTCTACTACATAATATATTCTACATCAGCAATCATTTCTATCCAAATGGATACATCCAAATCAAATGTTGTTGCAGCAAAACTGCTCTTTGATGAGGCACCCTGATCATTTAAAAAATGACAACAGCCATCCTTGTAAAGTATCCTAGTGCTACAAACTGTGGTTCTTTCGGTGCTTCTTTCAAAAGAAAGACTCCCCTGAAAATTATTTAACTTCCTTTTTTTTTTTTTTTTTTTAAACTGAACTTCGTGCAACCCTTTCAGGTTACTTTGAAAAAAAATGTTGAATCAATCCACATTCCAAAATGCCTCAGAAAGAAGAAAAATCCCAGCAGGAAATCCACCTAATTAAGTGGGGGTGTATCTAGCCCACAGCTATTATCACTTCTCAGCTTAATATTGTTAAACAGCCTGTATGTGGAGCAGGCAGTGAGCTCTCCTCATTATTTCTCAGATGAAGCTGAGTAGATCTAACCCAAATTATGGCAAGATAAACCAGGCAACTTAAGTGATGAAAATTGTACTTTTCCCTCTGCTTTAGGGACACTTCTGGCTCATCTGTCCTCTGATCAAGGTGAGCCTGATAAAGCTGAAAATTACACTGTGTCACTGGATTGGATGAGATAATCTTTCCCCTGAGAAGTGATTTATTTTAGTAACTCTTAATGAATAAGAAACTTTCTGCTCCAACACACTGCTCTTCTTGTGTGGGCATGGTTCCTTATTGCTTTGAGTGAGGGATCACATAAAAGGAATGGAGAATCCAAGTGGCTACATCTCCTTTATGGTTCAAAGACAAATTTATGTTTTAAGACAGACCTTCAGGGACCACCAGTTCCATAAAAGGGGAAAGTCATTGTCATTAGTTTGTAGGTTTAACTGCAAAAGTTACTGGCATATCTTCCACTTTTTGAGTGTGAGCAAAGTCTGGTTTGGGTTTTGAGGGATCTTGCTTTGTAGAATTGGGGTGTTCTCGATCTTTAGACGATTCCAGGAGATGTTGCATGTTAAGTCTGAAAATAAGGCGAGGATCTGGTCCAGAAAGGGATGGGCAATTGCAGCTCTCTCTTATTTTAAGAGCCTGTGAACACATAGGAAAACAAATCAAGCTCATTTAAAAAGGAAAAACAAGAAAGGTTTCAGTCAGTGACTTGGCTTTCCTCAAGGTTTGCATTTGCACATAAAGCTCAGTGAGTGTAATGCTGAGCCTGAGTTGTTACTGAACAACTTTGCAACAGAAACCAAGAACTCCTGTGAAGAAATGTAGCAATGTGGTAAAACAATGGGGAAATGAAGAATGAAGAAGGAAATGATTTTCTCACAGTGTCTCCAAGGATGGATACTCTAAAAGGCATACCATAAATAGCTTTCCAACTGTTTTGTGTGATACTTGTGCACATCAGTACCTTTTACCTTACATTCACAGGTAAATTGAACTTCGTGTAACCCTTTCAGGTTACTTTGAAGAAAAATGTTGAATCAATCCATATTCTAAAGTGCCTCAGAAAGAAGAAAAATCCCAGCAGGAAATCCACCTAATTAAGCGAGGGTGTATCTAGCCCACAGCTATTATTGCTTCTCAGCTTAAAAATTTTATATTTATATTCCCATGTAAATGAAAATGACTGCATCAGGAAAAAAAAGGTCTCTGAATTATTTACCTCATCAGGTATGTTCTATTATTGACATATCTACATAGAGATGTTTGACTCAAAAAAGGGTGGAAAAATCTCCAATAACATAATGGACATTTAAGGGTTTGGCACAGAGACAGTTCATCAGTATAGTTAAGGTCCAGTTATAAAAGGGATCTCATCTCTAAGAACCATTTGGATACACAGCTTCCAAGGATTAGGAGAAAATAATGTCTCTGGAATGTAAAAGTTTATCTGAATAAAAAGATTAGTACTAAGAGACCAAACTTTAGGCTCGCTGAGTAAGTGCCATTGCTTCCATTTTACAGGTAAGAAAGCAGAGGCACGAGGGAGCCAAAGAATTCCCCAGAGAGACAAAATTCATTAGCTCAGGCACATTCCCCTCAGATCATTCCCCTGTGTTGTGGGGAACGAAGGTGTGACAAAGGATGATTCTCATGTCTCGAAGGCACTGTGGAGAAATTGGTATCAACCTGTAAAAAGTCAGCTGGTTTAAAGGATCCTGAAGTTGGTGTTCACTGTAGCAAAGCTGAACTGTGAACACACAACAGGCACATGTGGTGTGTGTGGCACACAATGAACTGAGGCAATGCTTGCACACAGCCCTGTATCTTGGCCTCAGTTAACAGCATAAAACCATGGGCAGATTTACATCCTGCTTTGGTTTCAATCCTTTCATGGGAAAACAAGTTCAAATGCACATTTTATTCCACTTCACTTCCTAACCACGGATTCTTGAAAAGCAATGGCCAGACCTGGCCTGAGCTGTATCCAGGTGCATCCTGCCAGGACTCAGGACTGTCAGCAGAAAGAGTGGGTCGAGTCATTCCTTCCAGATGGATTAAAGAGGAGGAGGAAAGTAACAGTTTTCATGGCACTCCTAGAATTGTACTTTAAACAGAGCAGAAATTTTTAATCTGTTTTATATACACCAGCTTTGGCTGAGGTAACAAATCAAATATTCCAGCACAGCCATGCATAAGCATTTGCCCATCATTTTGAAACACTCTGCTGTTCTTTCACAGGAGACACTGGAAACATCTGACTACAGCAGATTTTAAAATAGAAGAGCAGAGCTTCTTAACTCATTTCTTTATACAAGGAGGTTTCAAAACATATTTCTCCCTAACTTTACTACAGTAAACTGATAGAATTTGCTGCAAATGCCTAGAATCAAATATATTTTAAATTTATCAACTGGTTTTGGAAAAAGACACATTCCAGGAAGGTGGAAAGAGTCTCTCCAGCCACTTCTTGTTGAAACGTAACATTTAAATTGCTGGATACACAAGTCTGGATTAGGCATGAAATACTGCTCTTGTCTAACTTTTAAAAAACGTGAATAAAGCTTTCTCAGCTTGTTTCTCTTCAGCATGATCATCTACATAGTCACCAAATGTAACTATACTGTGAACACTCTTCTGCTTCAGTGACCAATTAATTTCTAAACTGACATTTATGACAAACCAAGAGTTTTCCCTTGTTCTCTCCTAGAACATAAGCTGCTGCAAGACTGCATTAATGTCAAGCAGCGTTATTCAAAGCATGTGGAAATGCAAAGATTTAGGCTGCATCCCAGAAAGGACAAACTAATCCTCTTTCAAGCTAATTTGGCAATTTTTTATCTTTGTGTTTTCCTGGCTATACAGTGCCTGGCCTATTTCCATGGCTTCACTTACCTAAAACAGTGAAGTCACAACAGCAAAAGTAAAAAACAGCACTTCAGACTTAACACATTTACATCATTAAGATGTCAGCTACAGGTTGAGGCGCTTAAAACATCATTTCTCCTGAAGGATAAACCAGCCCAACATGGTCAGGTGTCTGCATTTCCAAAATCACTGCTAACTTCAAATCTGGTAATTTAATGCTGCTCAAGTAGATTGGGTTTTGACAGTCTGGGTATCCAGAGTGCAGGTAAAAGCATTCCCAGTGAAGCACATGCATATTGGTACTATAATAAGAACATGTTTTATTGACTGTTTCTACTGAAGAGCTTTCTCAGTAGAGGAGACAGAGTGAGCCAGGGTTAACTAGCTGGAGTCAGCATGAAAATTCACCTGGGAAATGAGAGTATTTTAATGCTGTTCTTTCCAGGTTAACCTTAGGAGCACAGCACTGCTGCTTGGAATAAAGACCCCCTACCTGCTCGCTGGTTCAGGAGATCCCAGATCAAACACCCAAACTATTGCTTGTCAAGTAACACAGGTGAAGCTGCTTCTCTTATCAATACAATCACAGTCACCTCCTGCAATGTGCTGGGAGCAGGGGAGGCACAGGAATGAGGGGTATCTGCCTCATCCTATCACTTTCATGTAAAGCCCACCAGGAGACAAATACACAAATAAGGGATTTTCAGTTCCCAGTATTAATCCCTCACACTGTCTCAGACACCAGGCTACCTGCTGCATCTTGAGCCCTTACAGTATTGATGAAATAGCAGGAAAAAGATGACTAAAAGAATTGATAGACTTCACTTGATAGAGAAGAAAAGCAGCTTATATATAATGCTAATACTTCCAATCTTTCACTCCAGTTGGCACGGAAAGGAAAAATTATGACAAAATATTTAACAACTTTATGGGGAGGACAGAAATGCAAGTCAGTGGTTTTTATTTTTGTTTTCACATTGACAGGGCTTAATTAACATATTCTAGTACTAGAACTGTCTGAAGTAATCTCCATATCACAAGTAAAGGGCAAAGATACCAACCCATTTTTAAAAAGGAAGCAAAATAAATGCATCTTCCATATCCAAAAGGCAGCAGATTGAGCAATAAGCAAAAACTACACACACAAAAAAATAATAGAAGTAACAAACAGCCAGTGTGGATTTGACAAGAACAGGTGTTGCCAAAGTAAATTAATTAAATTTTCTTTGACAAGTTAAGTGACCTAGCAAACAAGACAAGTAGTGGAGTTGATGTATCCCAACTTAGTATTAGTCTCTAAATGATCTCACCATGGCATTTCTACAAGAGTGGGAAAAGTGAGTTACAGGGAATCAAAAATGGACTCTGAGCCAACAACATGATGCCAAAAAAATCAAATGTCACGTCAAGATGAATTTTTGTGTCACAGGAAAGGCTCAGTGGATAACCTTCTGCTTTACTCAGTGTGCTGTTATCCAACAACTTCTCTCTGGCACTACACTTCCATGATTTTTCTCTCCAGAGCACCCTCCCCACTGTTAGAAAAACATTTTAAGATTTCTTTTTCTGAGAATCAAATGCACAGGCTTTCATTGAGTATCTCACCACCTTCCACGCAGGAATTCTAAGAGATTTCAGTTTCCTATTCAAGAGTATACTCTGTTTTCCTGGTTTAAAATCCAAAGCTCTCCCTGAGGGGGAACTGCTTTAAAAACACAGTAAATCTTTTTCATTTGCTTTATTTCATTTCCAGGACAGCACCACTTTGTAACTGCTCATAGCTCTCTATTTACTGATTCCCCAGCTTGGCTGTAGGTTCTAACTTGCTCACAAAACCAGACGCAAGTTCTTCAACAGTCCTTTGATTTGTTCCCTGTCTTTTAATTACCTGAAAAGAGAATCCCCGTGATGCTCCTGCTTTAATTTACATTTCCTAGGACTGTTCAGTCACCTCACTGAGATGTGACATCTCCTTACCTGAAGAAAAACTCTCGCTTTTTATGATCATATTTTATTGTGAACTTGCTTAAAAGTCTGTAGAGAAAGATCAGTGTGGCCTGAGAGGTCCAGAAAATTGTCCCTATTTGTCCCAGCTACAGTAGCTGATCTAATAATAGATACTGTATTGTACTGAGTCTTAAGAAGTACCAGTTTCTTCACAGAGAGATACCAGAGATAAAAAGGCCTTTTTTGAAATCTGGCTTCTCTCCCTGGGCTCTGAATATCTATGGCTATTAATGTGTGGTAAACATACTGCTCTAAAAAGCTTTAAGCATGTGAACAATGGAACAAAAAGGTGCTGATGTTGAACAACAATAATGCCCCGAGATTCCCTTTAAATGCCTGAGGTGCAGCCTCCAGGCAGCAGCTCCCAGATGAAGGGAGTCAATGCCTCAGACAAGAAGCCTCCAACAACACCTCTACACACTTCCTCTCATCTTTATTCCACATTTGTAGTGCCAACCTCACTTACTTAGTCAACTTGTTAAAGACAGGAAGGCTTTTTTCCTCATCCTACTCTGAAGAATGTTTTAGGTAGAAGTCAAACAAAACCATCTCCCCCTCAATTATCTTCTGGAAGAAAACGCTCTTGGAAGTGAGAGTATCTGTAAAGAGATGAAGTTGCTCCACCTGCTAAACTATGACAGAAAGGGCAGAAGTAACAGTTGTACACAGCTGCTCAGTTATTTAACTAATTTGACAGGCCTGGGGTAGAACACAAGAACTAATTATTTCATTACCTCCTTATAAGCCAGTCAGCAACTGTATGAAAGTAAACAATCCTTTATGTTCAATCTACCTAAAACTAAGGCTCCACAACAAGTATCATTTTCCATTCAGCTGCTCCAACATGTTAAAAGTCCATCTAAAAAATCACAACTTGCTTTTGCAAAGTACAGACTCTGTGTATATTAATTTAAAATATTCAGTCTAGCCAGTCTCCAGCCTCCTACCCCTAATGCTGACTTTGATTTATGCCACCATTTAGAATATTTACTGTATTCATCCTCAAAGGATTCATGAA